GCTTCCCATCTCTTCACCCCATGGATCGGTCCCCAGCCTGGTGCGCACCCAGGCAGTAACCATCTCTTCCTCCCATGCGCCCCATGAAACCTGCTCCGGCGCACGCCCAGATGGGGACCGATCCCGGGCCCCCGGCTACTGCCCTGGCGCGCGCCCAGCTGGGGACCGATCCCGGGCTCCGGCTACTGCCCCGGCGCGCGCCCGGCTGGGGACCGATCCCGGGCTCCGGCTACTGCCCCGGCGCGCACCCACCTGGGGCCGATCCCTGGGCCCCGGCTACTGCCCCGGCGTGCGCCCGGCTGGGGACCGATCCTGGCCCCTGATTTCTGACTGGGTGCGCTCCCAACTACATGGGTTCCAACCAGTCTGGACAGAGCCGAGGCCTCTGGCACCTCTCTAGGCGCTCTGCCCAGTGGGGGTTGGCCCCAACTCCCTGGCACCTCCCCAGGCTCTCTGCTGCCCTGCATTCCCTGGTCATTTGTCACCCTTCCATATTGGAGCAGCCACTCCATTCATGGCCTTTGCTGTAGGGTTTCTAAGGACACCTCCCTGTATGGTCCCCAGTTACCCAGTGCTGTCCGAGCAGACGCAGCTCCATCCCATCACAGGTCCATCCCCGGTACCCAGCAGCGCCAGCGCCCTCTCTGTGGCCTACCTAGCAATGCGGGGCTGGCATGGCTGAGAGCTGTGTGCATGTGGGCACTGGAAAGCTGTCACCTCACTCCTCAGTGACCTTACCTGTGACACTGTAACAGGGTGACTGGGCCCCTTATGAGGGTATGTGCAGCTGTGACTGATTACCTGCTGCCCAGCTGGTCTTGAGGGAAGACACATGGGCCTTACGCCGGGGAGACAGCAGCAGGGGAAGGCTGGTTGCTCACCCAGTGACCTTTTCTAACCCAGGGAGGGAATGAGGAAGCTGCAGTGAGCAGGAGAACTTGAGTAACTAGGGTGGCCAGCAGAGGGGTGGTTGCCTGCTGGTCTCTCTGAGCCAAAGACAGGGTGCTGAGGAAGGCTGAAGTCTAGCTCGGGAGGGCTGGGTGTGGTTAAGAGCCGACTGGGACAGACGAGCACCAGGCCAGTGGGAGACGCTAGGGCAGAGTGGCAGCTTTCGTGTTGTGGTGGGGGACTTGGAGGGTTGCTTTGAACTGTTTGTGCTGCTCAACCAGCTCCAGGCTGGGGTGGAGGTAGCCATGAGGCAGCCTGGGTGGAGAGAAATGGAAACTGAGCCAAGCTTACGCGGAGCCAGGCTCGGCTAGCAGGGGGTGCTACCGGGCAGGCATACGCTTTGACAGGCTGGCATAGGGGATCAGGCTGGATGGCGGTCAGGGAAGGAGGATTCCAGTCAGTGCCCAGAGAGGAGGGGAGAGAAAAGGCCTGGCTAGTCCCATCTACTGCTAGGGCAGAGCTGGCAGTGCCCAGCTAATGGAGCATGGCCGGTTAATGGGGCACTGTGGGCGATGGTATTGCTGCTGTCACACACCGGGGTCAGTGGGGCAACAGAAGTGCTCAGTAGCTGGGACTGGGAGGGTCCTGGAAGTGGCTGAGAGCTGGCACTGCCCAGCTTGCTGGCAGGGAGTTGGCACTGCCGTGTTTTGGGCACTGAAGGAGAAGAGCGAGAGGACGGCAGCTTGGAGCCTGGACGGGGGAGGGAGGGAGGCTCCTCGTTCGGCAGCCGTTGGCAGTGTGTGGCCCATTGGTGCCAATTCTGTGTAGGCGAGACTGGCGGAGTTAGGCCGAGCTGTGCCAGCAGCACGCATGCTACAGTCCATGGTCGGCGGGCACCATGCCCGGCACACTCTGAGTGAGGGGGGTGGGGCGGGACCCAGGCGACTCCCCTGCTCCAGGGCTCCCTCCCTTTTCCCAGCCCAAACCTGGGATGCGTGGGGAATCAATCTCCCGGGGGGAGTTACAGTGCTGGGACTTTTCCCAGTCCCCCAGCGCAGGGTTAAAATGTAGCTGCTGGTTCTCCCACTCCCAGTGCCCCAGGGGAGTGAGGAGTCAGAGAGACGCCACCACATTGCTTGGGTCGTTTCAGCCTTTAGGGCCAAATTCAATCCTGGTGTAAGAAGGCAGAGGATCCTTCACTGCTAGAAACGTTCCTGGGTCAGTGGGTCTCAACCTATGTACCATTGTGGGCCGTATCCAACACTACCTGTGTGGCCCTGAGGATGTCACCTGGGCCGCAGTTGGGTGCAGGCTGAGAACCGCTGCTGCAGATGGAGGTTGGCTCTCCTGGAATCTGGACCGGCTGCTGCAGGGTGTTATTTGTATCACGGCTGAGACTCGAAATCCGGACCAAGCCACACTGGGCCAGGCCCTGTACAAACCTAAAGTGAGTGAGAGCCCCAAGTCAGATAAAGGGGAAATGGGCCCAGGCAGGTGAAGTGATTTGCCTGAGGTCAATCAGCATGTCAGTGACACAGCCAGAAATAAACCCCAGCTGTCCCGAGTCCCAGTCCGGTGCACGCTGCAGGCTCACGCCGAATCGGCTATTTAAGGCAAAGCTAAAGGGCATTTGACTTCATGGGTTAGAGTTAGATCAACGGGCATTTTATTTTCCCAGGTAAAGTGGTTATTTGGCACATGCAGCGGCTGTTCCACCAGCAACAATCAGTCAATCGCACACGAAAATAAAGAAACCTCCTTGGCCGATTATAAATTTGTTTGAAGGAAACACCCCACAATGCTGCGTTATGCGTCACTGGCCAGAGCTTCAGCTGATGCAAACGGGTGTAACTCTACTGAAGCGAATGGAGTGAGGGCGATTGATTTGCACTGGCTGAGGATTCGGCCCATTGTTTAGATAAAACAGATGGAAAGGGTGAAACACAAATGCATCACTCCTCCCCCTTCTTGTCTCCTCCCCCCCCCCCCCCAACAAAATAATTTCAAATGTCTCATCTCTGAAGTATTTCTACATCCCGGTGTGATAAAGTAAAAATGTTCTTAATGTTGTCTTTAAATACTGTGTGGGTGCCTCAGTTTCCCCTATGCATTTCTTAAGTATCTAGGTGGCGGGATAAGGGTGTGTGATTGTTGCAGAGCCCCAGAGGGCAGGGGTGTGCAAGGGTCTGCACAGAGAATGTCCGACACCCTGTCTCCTGGCAACCAATGGCCTGGGCCCCTCCCCTACAAAGGTGCCAACAAAAGGTGTTAAAAAACAAAAAAAATCAGGTAAGCTCCTGCCCCCCCCCAAAAAAGGAAAAGGAGGGGCTAAAAAGTTTCAGTTTGAAGCTGGCTAAAAAAATGGAGGGGAGGCCAGACAAACCTCCTGGCCTCCCCTAGCCCCCCAAGATGAACCGGACTAAGGGGGTCCTGTTGTCTGTACCTGCAAGGCCTGTCTTGAACTGTGTTCCTGTCGTCTAAATAAACCTTCTGTTTTACTGGCTGGCTGAGAGTCATGGTGAATCGCAGGAAGCCGGGGGTGCAGGGCCTTGTCTCCCCCAACTCCGTAACACCCAGTAATTCCCGTGATGTTGTTGGTGTTAAACATGTACGCAGAAGAAACCGTGTGTTATTAAACAGACCCCCCCGACAAGCTGAGTTTCAGCCTGGACTTGATTGTTGTATGTGCATTATAACATCATAATAAAACAGGGGGCTACCTGCTCGGCGTGTTTACATCAGCAGAGTGCCGCATGTCAATAGAGCTACGCTGCACTGCACCAACTGAGGACCTGGTCCACAGTTGGTAAAGTCAATTTGGACAAAGCCCCGGTGAGAGGAAGGATGTTCCAGTGGTTGCATCACTAGCCTAGGACTATGGAAACCCGCATTCAATTTCCTGCTCTGCTACAGATTTCATGTGTGACCTTGGGCAAGTCACTTAGTCTGTGCCTCAGTTTCCCCTCAGCTGTAAAATGGAGATAATAGCACTGTCCTATATCAGAGGGGGGTGAGGGTAAATGTATTACATATTAGGAGGGGGCACGGGTAATGGGTGACCTAGAAGTACCTGAAATGGAGAGACACAACAGTTGCCCTACTGGACCAGGCCAACGCTTCATCTCATGTGTGACAGGGGCCAATAGCTGATGTGGAAGGTATTAACCTACCTGACCATGCAGCTAGGAAGCATTTTCCACCCTAAAGCGTGCATGGCAGTCGTTTGAGCTGCTGAATCTCCTTCTGGTTAGCGTATCTGCAGCTGCTCTTCTAATTCATGTAAATCTCCCCTCTGGTTTTGAAATGCACTAAATGGAGGTTAGTCACCTCGCTGCCACCCTGTTCTTCCACAGCTCAGTTTAGCCAGTGGCTGGTGGAATGATTTGAAATCTGCCTTTTTGTTGAGTATTATGGGATGGGAGAAACCGAAGTAATTGATAGTGCGTCTCACTTACTATGCAGTATAATCGTTATAAATTAGTGATGTTCCCTTTCCCCCTTGACCTGAGGCTCTCAAAATGCTTAACACTAGCTGCCTAAACCTCACAGCACTGCTTGGACAGATGGGGAAACTGAGGCGCAGAGCGGGGAAAGGGGCTTGTGTAAGGCCACCCAGTGAAACAGTTCTTAGGTGCCACAAGTCCTGGTGGTCCAGTGGGAGCTACTCCTTCTCCATGATGAAGTCACCTCACAAGGTAAGGAGTGAGGTGAAGAGAACAGACACTCTCCAGGCTTAGGCACTAGACTGGGACCCAGGAGATTGACTGTAAACTCCTCCGGTGGGGACTGTACCAGCACCTAACCCAGTGGCCCTGATCTCACTTGGGCTCTCTAGGTGCTGCCTGGGACAGAAATAATAATTAATTATCTGGGTTCGGTTCCTGGCTCCGATGCAGACTCATTTAATTGGTCCGTGCCTCGGTTTCCCCTCTGTAAAATGGGGTGGGATAACACCCCTTCCTTTCCATCTAGACTGAGAGCTGGTGGGGGCAGGGGTTGGCTCAGTCTGTATTGTACAGTGCCTGGCACCACAGGGCCCCCACCCTAAAATACCCCCGAGGAGAGGGGCCGAAAGGGGAGGGGTCAGGCTTGAGCCCACCCTTTGCATGGAGCTGGGGGCCGCGCCCCCGAGCCCGCGGGAGCCGGGGAAGTGTGGGCTGCCCCTCTCCTCGGAGGAATACGGCGGCGGAGGGGCTGGGCTGGGACGTGCCCGGGACCGAGCAGGGAAGCCGGGGCAGGGCGCTGCGCTCTGCCCGTAGCGCCGCCGCCGAGCTCCCCGCCCCAGCTCCGGCGGCGCGGCCAGGACACGGGCGTCCATGGAGCCGGGGCGCAGCGGGCTCGGGAGACGGGCAGCCGGGAGCGCCGGGGCCGGGCAGGTAGGAGCCGCCGCTCACCGCCGCGCTGGGGGGCACCGAGCCCGCAGGAGCCGGGCGCTCGGGAGTCCCCGGGGAGCGCCAAGGACGGGACCCGGATCGGGGCACCCCCTGGGGTACCCACCGCCCCATCCCTGCTATAGGGGACCCAGATCAAGCTGCTCTTTTCCATCCCAACAGCCCGGTGTAGAGGGGCTGTTTCTTTACAGCAGGATGTAGAGGCCTTGAGGCTGTTTCTTTTTAAAGGAGCCCAGAACTGGAGAAAGAGTCCAGAACTCCCCTTCTAATGGCCCCCCAGACCTTTCCCCTCCGTCTAACACCATGGGCCTGATGAAGTTCTCTCCTCCTTAGGGGTCTGTCAGCTCACGTCAGGGGGTTGGCCTGTCTCCTCTTTCTAAAGTAGCCCCAGGAAAGAAACCTCTCTCCGGGGAGCTCTGTATTTCACACCTTGCT